CTTCTGTTGCTATCTCCTCTTGATTTAAAGAGCATTTCTCTCACAGCCAGGTTTCAAAAAAAATCAGGTGGTGGAACTATTCTGCAATACATATCTGGCAGCCGAGGGTTTCCCAAGGCTGTGGGACGACCTCGGGACTTGCTTTCTATGAGCACTAGCCAGCACAGCCTAACTCCTGGCTTCCCATGAAGTCACGGTCACAGCCACCCAGCTGCTCTGTCTGCCCATTATGGAGCCCCCTCTCTTGCTCTTTCTTCTTCAACCTCTTCGCTACATCCCAAAGAACTCCAAATCTCTCCCTGAAGCCTTACACTTGATAGCACTCTGCTTCCTAAATGGTATTTTTTGGTGCTGACCAAAACCACAAACAAAAACCTTCCAGGAGTGGAAGCCCCACTGCCCCCTCCGCTCCAGGTCGCTGGTCCTGGGGCCTTATCAGAGTTACCGTCTTTTCCCACCTCCGTAAAAGAGTTACTCCTGGTCCTGACACAATCTGTCATGCGGTACAAATGGAGCGAGTAGGACATTCCTGTTTCCCAGGAACTTCTCTGCAGTTCGCTGTCCTGTCAGATCCTTCCCTTAGCACTGTCTTTCCAGCATAATTGACCTTCCTGAGCTTTTCAAGAATAATGCTTTATGGATTGTGTATCATACAAGAAATTCAGCACACAGTTGTTTAAACTCAGCCTCTACTTGAGCTCTTTCTAAAAAAAATTTTGCACATCATGCACTAACTATAGGTTGTGAACTTGGCACTTGTACTTTATCCTATCTTCCTTTCATCCCTTCCAACAGTCCCAAATGTACTTCACTACCAAAAATGCTTCTGCCAGCACTGGTCTATTTGCGAGCACAGGCACAGCAAGGTTTTGCCAAGCGCTCACAGAAAGATGTTTGGCAATGCCCATCCTGTTCCAGCTGCGTGAGGAACCGCCTGCCCAAAGGCACCAGTGTGAAAGCAGAACCGAGTGTGCAATCACATTTAACTCACTGGAAGGCATCAAAACTGGGCGAATTGCACTGGTATGAGACTTCTTTTTCTTTTTTTTCTTCCAAGCACTCATCGCACCAGAGCAAGATAAGCTGTAGTATTAAAAGGGTTTACCTTTGGGACTGAATATAGATTTAACTAATACTAATTCTTTTTACCTGTTTTTATACAGAGTAGGAAGCAACACATTTCTGGTGCTTTACCTTTACCAGAAAGGAAAAATGAATTAAAAGTCATTAGCTAGCATATGGTAACTAACACAGAAAAAACATTAACGAGACAAGGCAAACAACTCCTAGATATACTAACACATCACTTTTCATGAAGCAGTTTCTTCAATCCCCCCACTTGAAGTGACTGAGGAACAGACATTAGCAGGTTCCTGGAGATTTACCAGCTCAACCAATAACATGATTCCTGTACAGATGCTGCTCTTCTAAGAGCATTCCCAGAGAGTGTGTTTACCATTTAATTTTCCCCAATTAGCCAAGCCCTTGGATAGGAAATACCTATCAAGGATCTAACACAGGTCTTCTAATTCTGATGGTAATTTTAAGGAGAGATGCCGTTGGCATTTCTGACCCAGAGCTTGGCTTTTGGCATCTCACACATGCTGGGCATGTTAGGACATGCATTGCCTTTCTCATGTAAGATTCAAACATTCTTAATTGGCTAAAAATGTAACAGTAAAATGCTACTGCTTGGAAAATGTCTGTTTTGTTTTCCTCTGCCTTGGTTCAAGGTCTTGAATGTCTGTCTTTTTTCCAATTCCCTCAGGCACTGGATTCTTAACCAAATATTGTTAAGATGCAAAGAGTGCTCCTCCGGCGGCTTGGAGGAATTTATTTATAGGCACTTAAATTCTTTCTTAATCAGTGCACAATCATTCTACAGTTTAATCAATGCATGCTACAGCAACAGAGATCCATTTAGCACTGCAGAATTTTCCTTTCACTGTATTAAAGTCATCCTAGAAATGGTAAATTAATTCCCTCAAGTAACCATAGCCAAGATTATATAAATAGATAAATAGCTATATAAATAAATTTTGGCTTCACTGTATAACCAACAGTTGAAAAACCAGTGCAGAGAATTACACAGTTGTTAATTCACAGTGGTGAACGTCACAATTTGGTTTCCAGTTTCCCTTAGAGCCAACATTAAATTGCCAAAGCCAGTAGCTTTTCTTTCATCTGTTCCAAAATGCCAGCCATTACACCCCTGCGGGAGTGGAACTCTGTTCAAATCTGCACAGGAAAAACATCGGTCTAAACCCGGGTGTAAAGGCAGGGCTATGTGCTGAGCTGGCGTATGTTAAACACAGAATGAAATTACATTCAATCACAGAGCCAAGGTAGACATGTATAATTATTCTTTCCAACTGTTAGGTCATTTGACAAGTACAGATCTTTCCATCTAAAGACTGAGATGGACTAAATATCTCTAACTGCCCTTTCAATTCGAACTGCTTTTATATGTTTGCAGCCCCTCATCACAAGTCCTGCTTTTTCCTTAAGCAAAAATCTCAGCTGTAACTACATTTCTGTAGGCACACCTGAAAATTCTCCTCAATATGAGAAGATTGCATTATTTTGGTTTGGGATTTAAAATAAAAGTCCGCTGCTGTAAGGCCTGGTTTACAAGAAAGCACAGTAATCCAGCACCAGGTGACAGGGCTTCCTCTCCTGCAGGGATAAAAAAGAAAATAATCTTTCACAGTCCCCCTTTGAGACCATGGAGGCGTTTGAGTGAAGTGTCTAGATCAGAGCTTTCCTGGGGGAGAGATAAATGACAGCAGTAAGTAAACACTTGGAGATGATGCTGGAACCTGTTCTGCTTTCTCTTTGGGGGCAGAATAATTGACATGTCTCTGTGACTCAATGGGAATATTAACGGAGTCAGGAAGCACACATTTTAGCAACCATTACCACTCGTGGGCACATAATTTCCAGCATCTTACATGCAAACATTAGTGTACATAGAGCAAAACCCCAAACTATTGCACAATAACAGCAAGCTTGCATTGCAGTTCAGGAACAACCTTATCCCCAGGCACATTCATGTTTGCCTCTTGCTTAGAGGAAAGAGTCTATCATGCCACAGTGCACGTATAGATGTATAAACGTATAAATGTATTAACGGTTGGACTTGATGATCTTAAAGGTCTTTTCCAACCTAAACGACTCTATGATAAATAATGCTGAGCCATTCAAGCCTGTAGCATCACAAAAAAGAAAAAAGAAATCTGCTGCACACTGCTTTAAGCAGGGTCAGCTAAAGACAGCTGCTATCCATGGAAACTTGAAAATACAAAGTGGGAGTGGAGCTTTGAAATTTCCTTAAAGCAGGTAGAACTGTAGCAGTGTTCTCAAAGGGGAGAACCTCTGCAGAGCTCAAGGAAGTAAGAAAATGTTTTTTTCAGTGTTGGATAGCTACAGACCTGAGTTCAGTATCATAGACTGCATACATGAAATTTGCACATTATAATTTTTAAACAAAAACCCTTGCACAGCTAATATTCACAAATAAATCTGCACACCCACCACCACAGCAGACTCACAGGTTAAGCCGCAAAACCAGAGAAGCATTAAATTCTTCTGCCTAGCAGTAGCTCAAATACTGTTCGGGTACAAATGCCACATATATTCCTTCAGAAGTGCCTCACATTCGATACCAGAATCTTAAAAATCGTCCTGAAAATTAGTATAAGTGCCTTGAGCTCGAAGCAAGTCCTCACCTTGACAGAACACATAAGCATCATCAGATCTTACCAGAGTACAAGTTCACCAACATGAACTGCTGCATCCTCCAGTACTCCACTAGTGCATTCCTTGAGAAAATGCTGTGCCTCCACCTTACCCTTAGAAAAAGGCAGGTTATTGCTCTTAAAAGACAGTAAATAGAAAGAAAATAGATACAGAAATATATATAGAAATCCTGTAAACAAAGCAACCCAAATTGGAACAAAAAAAAGCCAAAGCACATCTCAAAGTATGAATTTATCTGACCCCCCCCCCCCCCTTTTTTTTTTTGAAGGTCAAATCTTGTTCCTGTTAAGCACAGAAGACTGGCAGATGATTTCATGAGAGAGTATTCAGGGGTTGCATATTTACATGCTTGACTATTCCTTTTGCTGCTGTGCACTTCAGATGTAGAATAGAAGGGTGATCACAGCAAAATACAGCTTTGGAGTGCAGTCCAATTATACTCAGCTTTGCAATTTGAGCCTAAAACCAACCAACACTTCCTAGACTAGATGGGGAACTGAACTAAAAAGAAGCGCAAGACTAACTAGTACCAAACTGGCCAGAGGATGGACAAGTTTTTACTATATCTGATAGTATAATGCAGAACAGAAGGCATTTAATTGTTTTTAAAATTATTTCTCTTACAAAGCAAGCATCAACTTCTGAGTGAGGGTGGGATGCTGAGCCACCTGATAGAGGAAAGGGAGATGCAACCTGTCCGAGCTGAAGAGTTCATGTAAGGCTGCCTAGAAGAACAGTTCAGAGGTCTATCAAGCAGCTCACCGAACACAGCCTAAGGTGCTTGGTTTTTCTTTTGAGTACAGCTACTAAGCTTAAGGATCTCAACACAGTTTCAATCCATGAAGCAGTAGCACCCTGCACATAATTAGCACTCCTTATCCCAACTAGTTTGAGCAAGCACTGCTGCTTTTTGGCTTCCCAAAACTGAATGAGGTTTGAGATTGTGGGACAGGGCAAATGCAGCATCTGTTTCCATAAAGAGCTGGTAATAAACACCTAAGGTCAGTCAGGGTCATCAAAATATAGTTTTATTTACATTTTCATATTCAAATTCAATACAAATCATGAAATATTTACAACTATTTTAATCGTACTATAGATAAGAAAACACATTCCTTTCCCCCTCCAGATTCAATAGTACTTTATTGCAGGCTTTAAGACAAGAGTTCTGCTAACATTAGAAACAAACCATAGATACAGAGATATAAAAAAAAAAATAAAAATAAAGTGCATCTGTAAGATGTCCGTAGTTACCTTCACTGGGCCAGGCCCTACACTCACTGTTGAGGCACCCAGTGTTCCTCCTCAACCCCAGTTCAACTCTCCACAGATGGCAGACAACTCTAATCACCCATTATCTTTACAGGACATCAGCTCTCCCTGCAGCTTTAGCACACAGGCAAGAGTGCACAGCAACAGTCCAGCATTTTTCAGAGGTTGGATCATTTTCTGAACAAAGCACAGAAGATCCTTTGGGAAGAATCTGTCTTTTCATCTTTAGTTCAGTCTTTCTGAAGTCATCCCAGATTCTCACAAAGCCAGGACACTGGTGTATTGCTGGTGCTAGAGATGGTTATAACTCCAAAAATCACAGAGGATCTTTCAGACTGTCTAATATTAACAGGTTAGAACAGTTCCTGCAGTTGTTCCCTTTACAGTATTGTGCAAGTCAGATTTCGTCTGTCAGCTCGAAGCTCTTTTTTTCCCTTTAGGAATGTATGGTTGGCAGGTTGGAGTTGAGAGGTAGAGAATCAAGCGGTTTACTAGAGAACGAAAGACACTGTGGGCAAAAATCCAGTTTGACAGGTGTTAGTTTGTACTTCATCCTATCAAATTAGTGCACTGAAATATTAAATACAGTGTTGCTTTAAACTAAACTGTGTCTGGTAAAGAGGTATTAAACCAGATCAAAATCAATTTGTTTACAACGAAAATCCACTTGAATTAAAACAACAAAAAAACCCAAGTCAAAACAATTCCCAGTAGAGACAGCGAAAACATGAAGAATCTTCTCCTTACTTATAAACGACTTAGACACTGAAGAGACGTTTTGCCGAAGATGGAACTTTTGTTTTAGTGTTAAAATCCGATGTTTTTCTTTATATTTAAGACAGCTTTATCTGAAGAGTGCTAAAACTAAATTCCACATGGAAGATGCAGTTTTAAGAATAGCAAACCATACAATTATGATTTGAACAAGTCTATTTGATCTCAGCATTGCCAAGGCAGTATTTTTCTGCTACAGTCTTGCAACGTTTGGTATATACATGAAGGCAGCAGGCTCCTTGCAGAAGGCTTACACCACATTGCCGGGCATGTTCTTAGGATCTGACTTCATGAACTTGTGTTTCATCTTCCTCAAAACTTGGGTTGTCAACATGTGGAAGGACATTCACAGCTGAGGGCTGGGATTCATTGTTCACAAGATGCATGTTGTCATCTGTCCCAAAGAAAACCAAGGAAAGACAAGAAGTGTCACAGACAAGCTTTACTGCCTTAAAGCAAACCACCCTTGCTTTATTTCCACAAGCCCGCTGCAGTGGTCTTTTCCCAGCACTTTTCCTGCAGAGTGGGAAATCCAAGGCCATGCTCCAACTACCACTCTTCTGCTGCCCATCATTAGTTTGTGAGGCCATTCTTGACACTACCTGTCATTTCTAGAGGTACCTAGTCAGCTCTGGAGTTCATTTCTCACTACTGCTGAGCAAGCCTAGGTTGTAGGCTCAAGTGGCAGGCAGCCATGCAAGGCTATGAAATCCAACTGTAAGGAGACTGGCAATTTTCATATAATTTTAGGGCTGCCAACGACAGGCATCAGTAGCACCTTCTAGAGACTAGGGTCAGGATAAACTGTGGGACACAGGCTGATTCAGGGAGGAAGGCCTTTTCTCTACAGACCAGCCTTGTTCAGCTGATGTTAGCATGTGTCCTTGCCACCCAAAGTGAGAATACATGAGGGTCTGAGCCATATAACTCATCCAGCATCACACTTCCATTGCTTATATGGATGCAATTTCAACTTCTGGTGTTTAGCTGATAGGAAGTGCTCTCTGCTCTACCAGGGCGGCTAAACAGAGCACTCCCGTACACACATCCTTTGCTGGAGCAAGGTGTCCCACACGTGGCAGGCAGGACATCCCACACTTTCCTACCAGCTAGGCTTCCTGCAGGCAATCTAAGCGGACACAGCCAGAGCATCCCTTTCACCTCTGAACACTTCCCCACTCACTCCTCTTCCCAAGGCCATTCCACAATCCAGGGGATTGTTACTTTCATTGGTTCACCTGGAACCTTCCCTTTTTTAAAATCAATAGGAACACTGAGTGTGTGTTGGCAAAGTTGAGCACTAATTGAAAATTTCTTTTTAGTTTGCTCTTGTTCAAAAAGATAAAAGTATTTGGAAAAGCTGATAGCCTTTTCCAATTAAAATGCTCTGAAAGCGTTCAAGGATGACACAGCCTTGGCATAATCTGAAACTCAATTGAAGCATTAGTCATCTCTATTTTGCATTATCTAAGCTAGAGCAAGACTGACTCCCCCAAAGTTTTCTGTAAGTAATTAACTACTTAAAGCAGACAGATTTGGTGGCAAAACAACACTCACTCATCCAAATGAAATCTCCAAACAGACAACGAGACAAGGGACTTCTTCAGAAAAATATCTTTGGCCTTTAAGTAGTAAGCCTGATTTTCAACTACTCTTATCATAGACTTGAGTTTTTAATTCACATTTAGGTTATGTTTCATGTGAAACCAAAGACCAAGTGTCAGAGCCAAGTACTAAAACTAAAGGGAAGATTAAGATTACCCTGAAAAACAAGGTGTTCAAGCACTGTGAGATGTTAAGCAAACACCCATAATTCACAGCATAAGCAATGAAGCGCAATGCAATCTAGCAAGACAGATGAAACAGTAGACGCACTTTCTGATGGTACATGTTCCTCAAGAACAGATTCATCTGCTCCTTGTACAGAAGCATATCCAGATGATGCTGTTTCACTATGATTATCCTCTTCATTAACTGTAGAGATATTTGATGTCCTACTGGATACTGTGGCTTGCACAGACTCAGTCCCTTCT